AAAAAAAAAGAAAAGGGAGTTTCCAGAGTGCCATTGCCTTGGAAATTCCAGCCAGAGTGAGGTCATCAAGAGCAGAGAGCAGTTCTGGTGTGCTGTGTTATCCTGCCTGGCAGGAGAATGGCTGACAGTGCACTCCCACCCCTGTCCATCTCATGTCCATCCCAGGTTGGCATGGGGATCCCAGAAGGTTTCAGAAGCTTGGAGACATCACCCATCAAATCTGTCTGTTCTGAATTGCTCACACCTCAGGTGTGGCAGGGCAGGACTTGCTGGTTCACCCCTCAGCTCTGGAGGGATAGAATGGTCAGTGGGGTGGGGAGAGAACAGCAGGGCAGTGGCCTCAGACCAAGGTCTGTCAGCCTCGAGGGGGCTTCAAAAGCAGCAAAACCACCCCAGGACAGCCTCCACACCCAAGCACTGATGAGCCAAGGCTCTGTACCTGGCCCACCCACTTGGAGTTTTCCCCACAGGGGAGCAGCTAATTCAGGGACATCAGCCCTGTCATTAGTGCACCTGCCATGATTCAGTAACATGAGTCAATACCATGTACTGAGCTGGCCAGTTACTCAGGACTAGAAGGTACCTTTACACCACAGCTTTCTTTCAGTTTGGCTGCCCTAAACAACCTAAATGTTCTCAGTACAAACGGTACTTGACCTAAAAATCCTAAATATCTGACCTGAATGTCTTAAATATCTAGCCTAAGAATCCTCAGTACATGGAACACTCAGCCTAAATATGCAACCTAAATATCGACAGGAGCCTGTGCTGCTGAGTTAATGATTATTAGGGTGGTGAAAAGCTGACAGCTCATTCCCACTCAGAATTTCTGTTCTTGTTTCCTGTCTTTCAGTGAGTTATTTATCCACAAGCACTCATCTTTCATGCCATGGCATCTGCAGGCTCACTTTTCAAAGGAGGTCTGTGCCCTGCCTGCTGCCAGAAGGGACCCACACACGGTCAACAAACTCTTGGCTGCTAAAATCCAGTGCTACCTTTAAAAGCTTTGGCTTGCATTTAGGGCACAAGAAGGGGCCCTTCCAAGTCACCTGCTCAGAAGGAAGTGAGCTCTGCAGAGCTGTGGGCATTGGTGTGCCTGCTGCCAGGAGGGGGATGAGGGGCAGATCTCCCCAGGGAAGGGGATGCACCAGCCCCCTGTGTGTGTGTGTGTGTGTGTGTGCAAGGGAGGGTCTGGGTCAGGCTCAGCCCTTCCAGATGAAATGTTCTCGTGTCAAACAGGCCTCAGCTCTTTCCTGGCAACTCTGTTAACCAGCTGACATGAGCTATGTGGTTTTAGTTTTTTGTGTCCTATAAGAGACCAGACACTACCCTGCTCTGCAGATAACCCTCTGGAGGAGAGCTGCTTTCCATTTGTGTTTTCTGAACAATTTCTCATGCTTTCCTAAGTGGAACAAACTAGAGAGGCAGAAAAGGGAGCAAAGACCATTTCCACACATACCCTAAGCCCATAACAGAAAACCAGCTTTTTCCAGGCAGTGGTCCTGTTCCCCTGGGTCCTGCCTGCTGAGTGCTGGGTTCTGGGTGCTGTGCTCAGTTCAGGCTGTCCCTGACACAGGACTCTGCTTTGCCTTTAGGTTCAGCATTGCTGCCTTCACCAAATATGACCCAGTAGCCCCTGCTGTGACATTCACCATGTTCTCAGGTAAGCTGGAGAATAGCATCTTCCCTACCTGGCTGTGTAGGTTAGAGGTAATCAACAGCCAGAGGGAGCTCATAGGCTGTAGTAAATATAATAAATATAAGAAATGTACCCATATGTCATAGAATTATAAAATGGTTTGGGTTGGAAGGGACCTTAAAGCTCATATAGTTCCACTCTCTGCCGTGGGCACAACACCTTTCACTATCCCAGGTTGCTCCGAGCCCCATCCAGCCCTTGGACACTCCCAGGGGTCCAGAAACAGCCACAGCTTCTCTGGGCAACCTGTGGCAGGGCCTCACCACCCTCACCATAAGAAACCTTTTTTATTGATTGTTCTCTTTCCTTCTATTTCCAGCTGCTGGATCCAGTGCAGACACAGCTCCACTCTCAATGCCAATAATCGCTGGAATCATTGTGGGATTTCTTCTGACACTTGCATCTGTTTTTGCTTTGGTTTACTGGAAACAGCTCAAAGCAAAGAGGTGAGCATGAGCCTGTTGAGTGCAGGCTGATATACCCAACCTTCAGTGCCAAGCCTGGAGGAGAGCAGGGAGAGGGTGTAAAAAAAGACAAAGCATGTGGGCTAGTGGAATTGTGCCTGGCAAGCTCAGGAGCCAAAGGCACAGGGGAGAGAGGAGCTGCCCATGTGCAGTGAAATCACAAAACCCTACAGGTGTGCAAGGCAGTGTGCCTGCCAGTGGTGCACAATACCTCATGGCCTCGATCTCTGCACTGCAGGCAAAAGTAACAGCTCCTGTGCTTTGATTCTAGAACCAAGAAGAGCAGCCTGCCCCAGGAAATGGTGACCTACAGCTTGAGGTGAGTGCTGGAGTTTGCCCTCTCTATGGCCCCACTGCAGCTCCTACTTTCCTTTACCTACTTCCTTTGCATGGTTTGACTCAGGAAAAATCCAAGTGTCTCCTCTCTCCAGTTGCTTTATAAATCAGTCTTTCCCAAGTTCAGGATTTATTGCCCAGCTCCATTATAAGTCAGTGCACTGTCTACACCTCCTCTGTGAGTTTCTGCAGCAGGAGAATATTCTCACCAGCCTGAAATCCCTCCCAGATTTAAACTGGCAGTGAGGTGGGCTGTAAACCATCCCTGTGTGCCTCCAGGTACCGCAGGTCTCCCGGCTGGGCTGTCTCAGTGGCACCTGACTGGCTGGCCAGGCCTCCCAGTAACTAAGGCAGGTTTTCCTCTGGACTTCATTTCCTGCAGAAACGTCCACAGGCCCGTTCCCCTGCACAACTTCAAGCAGTACTATGAGATGAAGACAGCGAGTGCTAACCACGCTTTTTTCCAGGAGTTTGAGGTGAGATGAGACCCCTCCTAGAAATGACATTTGGTTTCTCCACGTGGGGCTCCTGCTGTTGGGTGTGCTCCTCTCCAGGGGTGGTCACCCTTCTCTAGCAATCCAGCCACCCTGTGAAGCAGCCTTGGAGGCCAAAGATTAGATGGACCAAGTGATGGGCAGTTCCTTTGCTCAAAACCTGTTTTGTTCAAGTTCTAGTGAAAACACATATGTGAGGTGAACTAGCACAGAGCAGAGTGTCCCAACCCTGGCTGGAGGAGAAGATGAGAGGAGTGGCAGTGAGAGCCACCCTGAGAGTGTTAGAAAAGAGCCTGCAGCCAGAGGGAAGCTCAAGGAGCACTCCAGGGTCAGGCTCTGAGCTTCACCTCAGGATGCCTTCCCTGCATCCCACAACATCTGCAGCCTCTGGACTGTTCTGCTGTAGCATTTCAAATTTCCATCAGCAATTTCAAACCCTCCTCAAATCAACTTTTTCTGGCTTCATGAGTGAGGACGGGTAGAAGCAGATACAGCACAAGATATTTCTGTTTGCTCAGCAGAAAATCCTCTGAGCTTTGTAGTAGATTTCCAAGGCTTTTCCCCCCAGTGTTTGTCCTTGGGCTTTTCTTTTAAATATGAGCAGTGCTGTTGGAAAAGGCAGTGGGAAAAGCCACCATGGCTCAGAGTGCACCGTGAGGGAGGAGTGGAGCAGTTCTCTGTGTGAGGGTAATGCTCTTTACCCTCCAGACATGAGCAGGGGGCTGAGCTGACCAGGAGCTCTCAGAGGAATGTCTGTGCTTATCTTTTCCCCTGTCCTACAGGAGCTGAAGGAGGTTGGGAAGGAGCAGTCAAAGGTGGAGGCTGAGCTCCCAGCAAATGTCTCCAAGAACAGATATCCCCATGTGTTGCCCTGTAAGTCTTGCCTCCTCCCTTCTCCCCCAGCATCCAGGGTGGAGCTCACAGGGCAGTGTTTAAGGACAGGCTCACCATTGCTGCCAGGGTCAGTGCCTGGCTCCTTTCCTGGGAGCAGGAGGACTCTTGAAATGGGTCTCAGTTTCCATTTTCCTGCTGGAGACTCAAGGCTTAATGGTTGAGCCAGGGCTGAGCCACCATCCTCTCCAGTCCTGCAGTGGGCTGCTGGGTGAGCCCAGCTCAGGATGGGTCCCAAACGGAGACCAGAGGGGGTCCATGAGTGTCACTGATGGGCCTCATGGCCCCAGTTCTGTTCTGCAGTCCCCTGCTAGCCCAGCTGGCAGGCAGTGCTCACCTCTCCCTGGGGAAGGTGCCTGGCAGAGCACAGAGCCTCCCTGCTGGAGCTGCTGGGGCTTCTCCCCCTGGGTTGCCCAGGTGCCATGTCCTGGTGAAGGGCTGCTCACCTGTGTGTGGTCTCTTTCAGATGATCACTCTCGGGTCAAGCTGAGCCAGCTGGGGGAGGATCCACACTCAGACTACATCAATGCCAACTTCATGCCTGTGAGTGCCCACTTGCCTTCCCCACCGAGATACAGGGCAGGGCACGTCACAGAAACTCTGCCCGGGCTGAGGCACTGTCCCCTCCTGTGAGGGCTGGTGGGCACGAGATGCTGGTGAGGGCACAGCTGGCACAGGGCAGCAAGAAGCTGTGGGGAAGGTGGAGATGTGTGGTTGCCCTTCAGCAGATGTTGCTGGAGCCTGTGAGTGGCAAATGCTGTGATGCAGAGCTGTGAGTGTGGGAAGACTGGCAAGTCTCTCTGCTTCCTTCTCATGGACTCTCTATCCTCTTCTATCACCTCCCAGCTTACTGCCCTCTCTGCCTGCTCTTTTTCCTTCTGGTCTGTGCAGCTGCATTTGAACAAGCCTGGAGCTGTGCCTTCATCCTCCATGTGGGAGGTGTTCCCAGGTAACAGCAGGGCACACTGCCTGCATTGCTGTTGTGTGGATCTGCAGGGCATGTGTGTGTCCAAGGGCAAAGAAACACCCCGAGACCTTGCATGCGCACCCTGCCCTCAGCAGTAAAGTGGAAGCACAGGGATGATCCAGATCTGTTTTTCTCTGGTTAGACTGAATGAGGAACTGCTCAGAGGGAAATGGTGTGGGTCACTTTATTCCAAATATGTAGAAAGCATATGCTGGGTAGCTCATGCTTCCTGTGAAATCAGCTGCTTCTGAGATCAGCTGCCTGGGAACTGTGCCCATGGGGGCTAAGGGCAGCAGAAATTTCTCCTTCTGTCACAAAACCAGACCAGGCACTGGTCCAAGAGCAGGACCCACCTGCCTTGGCAACCTGCTAACTCATCTTGCTCTTGTCTGCCTCTTGCTCAGGGCTACACATCCCAGCAAGAGTTCATTGCCACCCAGGGGCCCCTAAAGAAAACCATCGAGGACTTCTGGAGGCTGGTGTGGGAGCAGAACGTCTGCAATATCATCATGCTGACAGTGTGCATGGAGAATGGGAGGGTAGGTGCCAGCCCAGCCCAGCCCAGCCCAGCCCAGCCCAGCCCAGCCCTGGTGGTGTGAGCTGAGCCCAGAGCTGGGTCTGTGTCCTCCACAAAACCCCTACTCTGATATGGCTCCAAGATGAGCACAGTCCCCACAGCTTCCCTGACAGTTTGGGCAAGAGAGGCTGATCTGTGCAGCTCAGTCTTAGTGTGGGGCAGGAGCTTAGCTAGAACCAGGCCCATCACCTTCAGATATTTCCACAGAACCTGAAATTGCCATGTCTGGGTGAGGCACCTCGCATGGACTGTTCCTCCAGTCTCCAGGGATAATGAGACCCACACAGGTCTTTTTTTTCTGGAAGAGGCTGAGATCCAAATGGAGGGGCTGTGAGGGAGAGCTGTGCAAAGGGAAGGGAAAGCACCCCTGCCTGCTCCCCAAGACCTGTCCTGGCTCCCCTCACAGCTGCTGCTCTCTAGATGCTGTCTGGGAGCCAGAAGATCACCTGGTCCCTCTCTGGGACGCTGTCCTGCTCTAGGTCCTCTGTGATCATTACTGGCCATCAGAATCTGCCCCAGTGTCCTATGGGCAGGTGCAGGTCCACCTGCTGATGCAGAGCAGCTCTGAGGAATGGACCATCCGGGAATTCAAGCTGTGGCACGTGAGTTCAGATCCCAGGGGATTTGGGGACCTGGCAGGGGCTTGGGGTGGGCACTGGCATTTCTCCTCAGTGCTGGTGGCACCTTGCCCTGCCATTTGTGGGGCTCAGAGAAGATCCAAGCCCTGAGAAGCAGTCTGCCCCTTCAGATGGGTGACACGGGGGTGTCCAGCATGTGTCACGCTGCTCTCCACCCTTGCTCTCTGGTTTCCATGTCCCTGCTCTGGGACAGCCCGCACTTTCCAGGGCATGTTCCCTGGCAGTCAAAGGCAGATGTCCTCCCTCCCAGCTCCACGTGGCATGGCAGGGGCTGTGGGGGAAGATGGAGGAGCAGAAGCCACCAGGCAGTGAGACCTGTTGCAGTTATTATGTCGAGACAGACTGGACTGGCATCACCATCAGTCCTTTATTAGAAACTTCTCATGTCTTCTTTCAGTGTACTTCTTTCCAACAGCTCTGACTCCTTCCCTCATAGGCAACTCCACACAGCTCTGACTCCTTTTCTTACAGGCAGCTCCACACAGCTCTGACTCTTTGTCTCCTCTCTGCATAACTGGTTCAACCCCAACCTGTCCCTTACCTGGCCACCTTACCCTGGCTGTCCCTCACACAGCATCTTCTTACCNCTCGTGGGCAGCTTCACACAGTACTGACTCCTTCTCTCCTCTCTCCAAGATCCCTTCTTCCTTCTACATGACTGGCTAAACCCAAGCCGTCCCTTACCTGGCCACCTTACCCTGGCTGTCCCTCACACAGCATCTTCTTACCTTATCATGTCCCTTCCTGCTCACAGCACAGCCAGCACATTCCATCCCAACTGCAGCAGACTCCATCCTCGACTGCATCCCCAACTCCATTCCCAATTGCAGCAGACTCTCAGTCTGAAGCTCCAACTCAAACTACAACTGGTGGCCAGCTAACCCACTCTTTTCTAACACCCAAACTCACTGGGCAGGCACGGATGTTTCCACTGTAATTCATCGGGAGAGATTGCCTTCTGTACTGTCCTTTCAACCTGTCTCCCCACACAGACCTGATGCTGGCTGTTCCCTGCAGCTGAGCCAGGTGTCCTCAAGTGCCCAGGCGGTGCCAGGGCTGTGGGGTGTGAGCTGCCTCTGGGGGCTGCACACCCATCACCCACCCCCGTGCAGGAGGGTCAGCGGGCAGAGCGCTTCGTGTCCCACCTGCACTACACAGCCTGGCCCGACCACGGCATCCCCGAGTCCACCACTTCCATCATGACCTTCAGGGAGCTGGTCCAGGAGCACATCCAGAGCACCAAGGATGCAGGGCCGACCCTCGTGCACTGCAGGTGAGGCTCTCCCCACAGGGGATGGTGGGAGAGAGCAGGGCGTGAGGGTCCTACTCTGCACAGACTGAGGGAAAGCAGTGCCCAGGAGACTCAGCTGCTCTGTGGAGCCTCCTGCTCACGTGTTGAGGGGTACAGGTGTGCTGGCAGCCTGTCCCCAGCCCCACGGGGAGATGGTCAGCACCAAGCCAGGGCAGCCTGAATGGCTCTTCAGCCCCATACCCTGCTTAGCATTCCATAAACCCCTGAAAGGATGTGGAACCTTAGGACATTATTGTTACAAGCACAAGTAAATGATATTGTTAGATTAAATATTAATAATATATTAATCCTCTTCCTTCAGACATGCAAATATCAAGTGTTCTAAACAATTTGTTCCTCTTACCTGTCTAATACAAAGCCTGGTACAAAAATCAATTTCCCAGGATGGTCAATTGATCTCCACATCAAACCAATCATTAGAACTTCCATCCAGCAGCTCTCCAAGAGTCTTACTTGGTCATAGAGGCTGAGATCAATGAAGCCCAAAGTGATGCAAATAGCATAAAATAAATCAACTTGTTAAATGCTCAGTTTTGATAAAGAAAAATGCCTGGGTGTGCTCGGGTGGTGCCCAGGGAGCGTTTGGGAGCACGTCCAGTAGCAGGAGGGGGCCCGTGGGCTGTGGTGTCAGGCCTTGTCGTGTCTTTAACCCTTTTAACCCTCCCTGTGTGCTCTCAGTGCTGGTGTGGGCCGCACTGGCACCTTCATTGCCCTGGACCGGCTGCTGCAGCAGATGAAGCAGGAGAAGGTGGTGGACATCTTCGGTGTGGTTTACTCCTTGCGCATGAACCGCTACCTGATGATTCAGACCCTGGTGAGATCTCTGCTCCCTCTTTCCCCTGGCCCCTCACTTCATTCCATTGAAGTGCACAGTTGCAGTTGGATGAGCTGGCCAGCCAGCCCCAGCAGCCCCAGGCTGGTCCTCAGCCTGTCACTGTCATCCTGCTGCTGAAAGCAGCAGCTCAGCTGGAGTGGAAATTGCTGGGGGGGGTTTCAGCTGCTTCATGCCCTGCTAGACCCACAACAGCAACATGCAGAGTCTCAGAGACCTCCAGGAGGCTCAGAAACACCCTGGAGCACTGAGGAACAGGATCAGGCCCTTTGCAGGCAATTCTTAACTCACACTGTGTTGTTGGTCTGTGATGCTCCACAGTCTGTCTCCTGTCTCCAGTCTTTGGGGTTGGAACAAGGTGTCAGGATTGCCCTTCAGGAGAGAGACCATAGCCACCCTCTCGTGCTGTCTCTGCAGCCTGACAGTCTGTGTTGCTGTCTGCCTTTGCCTTCCAGTCCCAGTACATTTTCCTGCACAGCTGCATTCTGGACAAGATCTTGGAGGAGCCTCTCCTGGATTTATCAGGGACAGAGAGGTAAGGCCTTGCTATGGTTTGCCATCTGCCCAGCCCGATCCACAACCCCTGCTGGCAAGCCTTGGCTCCAGGACAGAAGGCCAGGGAAGCCCAGCCAGCCATCCCACCTGTGATCCCTGCTGTGAGTGGGGTCAGCACCAGGCAGGTTGTTCCCTGCAGCACAGGGAGCCCAGCACAGAACAAAGTGCAGTCTCCTGGGTGCCCCAATGCCAGAGATGTGCAGAGCTGTGCTGGGGAAGGCATTTCCCTCAGCCTCTGGCTTCCCAGCCCGCAGGCGTGCCCTGGAGATATGTACAAACTGGAGAGGCTCCTGGCAGCTGGGTGACCTTGGGACATCCCTCCTAATGGAGGCCAAGAGGATGGGCCTGGCTTTGACCACCTCTTCCATTGTCTTGGGGCTACATCTGGAGGTCGTGCACTTGTCTTTGTGGCCAGATTGTCTCCTCCCTCATGCAGAACAGGATGTCCTGTCCTTGCTGCCTCTTGGGAATGAGCCCTGGGCTGTGTCACCCCTGAGACTTGCCTCTGTCCAGGGGAGGGCAGGTTGTCACAGGCCAGAGCTGGGCTGGGTGCCTGGGACACCCCTGGCATTTGAGGAGTGAAGGTTTGCTCACAGCCCTGTCCACGTGCTACAGACACAGCCTGGGTGCTGCTGAATGAGCTCAGCCTCACCCTTGTGCCCTGGCTCTCTCCCCAGGTCCTGCCCCATCCCACTGAAGAGCTTTGCCCAGCACTATGCCCAGAAGGCAGCCAAGTCCCACATGGGCTTCCTGAGGGAGTATGAGGTGAGAGCTGTCCTGGGCAGGTGCAGGGAGTGCTGCCATGGCTGTGTGTGCTGAGGGGACCTGGGGAGTGACTGAACCTGCTGGGGCTGGAGGACACCCTGTAAGTGCCTCCTGAGTGGGTCCCATGGCCCAGTTTCCTGGGTGTTCTGGCAGTGCCCCCTGTCCTCAGCGTTGCATGCCCAGGCACACAGCTCCCTCGTGCATTCTGCACTGCTCAGGGTCTGTCCACCACCCACTCCTTCCCAGGTGCCTTCCTGCACAGCAGCAGCCCTCTCCTGGCAGCAGGGCACAGCCCTGGCAGCCCACTCCAGAGCTGCTCTCGTGGCACTCCTGCTCAGGCTTCTGCATGTGCAGCCATGACCCCTCTCTGCCAAGGCCAGGTGTCCTCAGGAGGCTCCTCCTGCTCATGACCCTTCCTGCTCACTGCCTCCTTCACTCTCTCTCACCCTGGCAGGCCCTCCTGGAAGCTGTCAAGGAAGAAGCCAGCTCTGCATCACCATCTTCAGGCAGCCAGCAGACACGGCCCTCCTCCAGCATCCTGCCATGTAAGTTCTGTGACACCTTGCACCCTCTTCCTTCCTGTTCCTTTTCCTCCTGCATGGAGCCAGGGCCAGTAGTCCACAGCATAAGGAAGTACTTTGAGACTTTGGTGACTCCCCCAGAAGGTTACTGAGGTGTTTGGGATGGAGCACATGGTGTCTGGGACTGGGACAGCTGGGTTTGCTCAGCCTGGAGCAAAGGGGAGATCTTATTGCTGTTTTCAGCTGCCCGTGGGAAAGCACAGGGAAGACATGGAGTCTTCTCAGAGGTGTGCCATGGAGGGACAAGAGACAAGGGGGATGATTTGGGAGGGTAATCCAACTCAGTAGAAGGAGTAGTGAATTTCCATGAAGATGGTCAAGCAGTGGAACAGAGACCCAGAGCCCCCATGGGCTCTCCATCTTTGGAGAGAGGCAGATCTCCATTGGCTCAGTGACCTGCACTACAGCATCCTGGGACAGAGACCTGTCTTTGGGAGCCAACTTCCACAGGCTGGAGATGAGCAGAAGGGAGTGCCTTTGCCAAGAAATGCTGAAGGAAGGATTGGCTTTGTGTGGCAGTCAGTCTGTAAAGCCTGTTGGAGCTCAAGACTGCCTTGAAGCCCTCCAGCTCCCACTTCCTTTGCAGATGATCGCTCCAGAGTGAAGTTTGCCCTGCTGGAGCAGGGCCCTTTCTCAGGGCTGCTGCAGGTGTGGCGTGTCCCGGTGAGTCTCCCCCCAGCAGCAATGCCCACCCTGTGCCTGGGTCCCCCCTCCTGGCTGTGCTCCTGTGCCCTGGGTCCTGCACTGCTCCTCTGGTCCCTGTCACTGTGGTCCTGCAGGGACTGCAGGGACTGAGGACATCACTTCCCTTGCCTGCCCAGTTTGGGCTGCTCTCACTTGCCTCCCTTTCTTTTCTCTCCTTGCCTCCTGACCTGCTGAGCTCTCTTCTCTTCCTGACCATTCCTGCAGCCACCTGGGCCAACAGAGCACCCTCTCCAGCAGGAGAGTAACATTCTTATTCCCCACCAGGTCTGCAGCTCCAGCAGGGACTACCTGGCTGTCCATGGCCCTGACAAGCTGACCATGGAGGACTTCTGGACCCTGGTGTGGGAACAGGATGTTCACACAATCCTGACACTTCTCCCATGGCAGGAGAAGGGGGAGGTAAGGCACTGTGCCCACCTGTGCCATGGCAGAGTGGGAATCTGTTCAGTGCAGTTGGAACTAGCAGAGCTCTTGAAACTCTTCACTGCCTCCTGAGTCCTGGGTGCAGATTCAGCTTAGCTAAAGCTGGGCCTTTCCTGTGTCCAGGTGTTCCCACAGCTTGTCATGGGAGACAGGTTCTGTGTGCCCCCCATGCCTGGACTCAGCTGGTGCCCTTCATCTGCATGCATGCATCCTGCTCTGCCCTGCCAAGGTGCAGACACTGGCTGAGCATATTCCATCTCAGAGCAGAGGTGACAGGCAGCTCTGGGTTCCTGGGTGAGCTGCTGAACCTGCTGGTGTTCCTGGAACTCCCTCAGGTGTTAGGTGGGGGTGAACTGACATGGAGAGATGCTGGGAGTGCTCCTGGTCCAGCCCCACCACACACCCTGACGACCATGACTGATATGACAGACAATGACCATCAACAGAAAGCCAAATTTCTAATTGCACACAGGTCCCAGGTGAGGTGTGCTGGCCCCTGGAAGGAGACTGTCTCTGCATGAAGACTCTGACCATCCAGTGTGACACAGAGAAGCTTGTCTCGGGATGGAGATGTACCCAGCTCAAACTGAAACACGTGTGTGTCCATGGGGCTGTCCTGGCTCCCACCTCCTGGGGTGGGGGTAGGTCTGTAGGGATCTGTAAGGGCTGAAGGGTCTGTGGGACTTCAGGCTGCAAGAAGAGTGCTAGCAGTCCACAAATGCAGGAGTGAGTCTGGATTGCAACATCCAGAACTGAGTGGACACAGGAGATTCGTGGGAGAGGCCCTGGGGGCTTCCCCCACCCCCTGCTGATAGGTCTGTCTGACCCCTTTGAAAAGGCCCACCCAGTTGTCAGTTCCCTCTCCAGGAGCAAGTCAGGGTGCTGTGGGGAAGGAGAGCAAGTTGCCAGAGTCCTGGTACCTGCAGTGTGGGTGGTGGGCCCAGCAGAGGTGCCTGGACAGCTTTACAGAAGCTGGCAGGAAGCTCAGGAAAGCGTCAGAGAGCCTCAGGATGGGAGAACTGGGGCTCCTCTGCATCCAAACTTGCCCATCCCTCCCCAACATCCATGTCAGCTCTTTGTGTCTCACAGGAGAAGAAAGCAAAGGAGAGGCAGGTACAGAGGTTCCTGTACACACTCTGGAGCAGCAAGAAGCAGCCTGATGTGCAGAGCCTGGTGGAGCTGCTGCTGGCTGTCAGACGGTGCACACCCCACTGGAGGAGAGTGGGGCCTCTCCTGCTGCACTGCAGGTACCCCTGCTTACCCCTGCATCCACGGGCAGCCTCCCATGCTGGGAGCCACCAGGCTGCACAGTGCCAAAAATCCTTCCCCTGCATGCCCTGGGCCATGTTGATATCTGTCCGTGGGAGCCAGTGGAAGTTCTGAGCCTGGGAGGTCACAGTGCTCTGCCAGGGGCTGGGAGAAGACAGGGCAAACAGGGCTGGGCTGGGGGAAGCATGGGTGGAGCAGCATTCCCAGGCTGAGGTGCCCAGGCCATCCCTGGGTAGCTGCAGGGACACTGGGAGCAGCCCTGATATCCTCACTGGCACACAGAGAGCTCACAGTGCCCACATGGCTCCTTGGACTGCTGCCCTCTTCCAAAGGGGTTCAGCTCAGCCTGGCCTGGCATCACTGAGCCCTCCTTGTCCCTTGCAGTGGTGACATGAGCCAGATGGGAACACTGATCTCCCTGGATTGCCTGTTGTACCAGATGAAATCTGAGAGAACCGTGGACATCTTTGGTGTGACTCTCCAGCTGGCCAGGAGCTGCTGCCTCATGACCCCAACTCTGGTAGGGGGGAAGGAGGAGCGCTGGGGAGGGTGGAGCAGAGTCTTTGTTCTGACCTGCCTGGAGCTGGCAGCACCCTGCCCACTCCTGGGTGCTACCTGGGAGCCTGTCCAGCCTCAGCAGGGATTTATTTCATGCTTCTTCCCCACCCTGTGGCTCTGCCAGCCACCAAGGGCTGAGGGCACTGACCTTTCCCAGGCAAGAGTTTTCCATCTCCTCGGTTCTGAGTTAAGATCACTTCAATTTCATGTGAGCTCACAGTAAATCAAGGCACTCTTCCCATTGTACTCGAGGAAGGGTGGAGCACTGGTGTCACCCTACACAATCTGCCTGCTCACCCTTGCCTCCTGGGCATGGCTGTCAGCCTGGGCACCCAGAATCTGCTGGGTATCCCCTTGGCCAGTGCCTTTCCTGCTACATCCCCTAGACCCAGAGCCTGGTGTCACAGCTGGGCCGCTGTCAGGGGGACAACAGGACACAGTGCCACATGAGCAGGTGCCCTGTGGGCTGTAGCACTGTCTGATGGGGCCGTTCATGCCAGCCCAGCCTCGCTGTGCCAGCCCTGATGGGCACTCGTGGCACCAGTGCCTCTGGACATGCTTCAGTTGCTGCAGCTGCTGAATGAGCTGATGCTCAGCCCTGGAAACACCCCACAGGGCACGGCACAACTGGGAAAGATCTCTCCAAGGCTTCCCAGCTGCAGAGCCTCCTTCAAGAAGTTAATTACATTCTTAATTAATGTGAACCATGTGCGTGGTGGGAGCCAGAGGAGGGCACGGCGTGCGCTGCCCTCGCTGCAGAGCTGCTTTGTGCTCCCTGCAGGGACACAACTCGCCCATAAAGGCACAGCAAGTGCCCATCAAACACTGCTGGCCCGCTGAAGGGGGGATGCAGAGGAGCTGCTTTCCCTCAGAGCAGCAGGGCTGCCCTCCAGCCTCCTCCCACCCTCTGGGGGCTTGCCAGCACCCCTTGATGTCTGGCGGGGTCATCTGCTGCTGTCGTGCTGGAGGCAGCAGATTTTGGGGGGGCAGATGAACCTTTGATGGATGTTCGGGGATAACTGCCATGGATATTAAGCACCAGCAGCTCCAGTGTGGTGTGTGTCCCTGGGGATGTGCTCTTGCATGTGGCCAGCACTGAGTGTGGCTGGGCTGAAGGCAGCCCTGGGCTGTCACTGCCGATTTCACAATCAGACCTGACTCATTGAAAACACGCTCTGGTGACCTGGAGCCTCAGCCATTGTGTGATCCGTGGCATTCCCAGCCCTTCGGTGAGGCTGACCCCCCAGCACAGGGAGGAGGCTCCTCGTGACTTGCAGCTCAGCCAGAGCATTAACGAGCTGTTGGGAATGCTGCTGGGGCCCCTCTGCCAGTCCTAATCCCCCCTGGCCACTGCCATGTGATTCCAACCCCCACCATGGAGGGCTGGCCTTGCCCTCCAGCTCTGTGCCCTCAGTACAACCCCATTTACCTTCCTCAGTCCTGGCTTTGTAGCCTGGTGTCATTTTGGGGCAGCCTGGCATTTGGGCAGAACCTCATATCAAACACACGGGGACCTGTGATCTCTGAGCCCACATTTGGACATGATGAATCAGTTTGGTGGTATTGAAAAGAGACAAGCAATGCAGATGAGTTAAACCCACACAGATTTTTCTGTACCTCTGTGAGCCTGAAAGCATCTGCCCTGATCTGCTGTCAGCACCTGGCTCTGGTGCACTGGGACTACACCAAGGGAAACTCCTGGTCCAGAGCTCTTCCCTCATGGCCCCAGGTCAGTGGCAGAGCCCAAGCAGCTCCATGGCTGCAGCATCACTGGAGTTGCTCTTTGCTCTTGTTTTGGATACAAACACCACAGCACATCCAAAGGCTGCTGGGGCACTTGGAGGAAGCCCAGAAATTGTTTCTCTCCAGCTTGGATGGGATGTTCCTCTCAGCTCCATCACAGGGGCATGAAGAAGGGGAAACAAACATGGGTATAGCAGGATGGCTTATTCCTTTCTGGGTGCCTGTGGTGACACAGGACCATCATGGATTACTTGGGAGAGCAAACCCTGCTCTGCTATCAGACACTGTTCCTTAATTATGATGTTTTAAAGCAAACTGCAAGGTTAATCTGTGACCTGGAGGTCTCTGTCAGAAACCTGGCTCTGACCCCCCTTTCTCTCTTGCAGGACCAGTACATGCTCCTGTACACCTGCATCCAGGACATCATTGCTCAGAACCAGCCCTAACAGCACCTGGCCCTTCCTGGCACCCTCTGCCTCCCCTCTGCAGGGTCCTGCACAGAGCTGGGGGCTGCTGAGGGCACCATGGGACTCCTGGCACAGAGCAAGCCCTGCAGAGAGCAGTGACCTCCCCAGGCACTGACCCCAACGTGGTGTGAGCTGTGACACGGGGTCACAGACCCCTGGACAGACAGACAGTGTCCTGGACAGATGGACAGTGTCCTGCCATGCACCCCTGCAGCCTCTCAGTGCAGACATGGTGAGGGGCTGGACAGGATGCTCTCCTCTTTTGGGCATCTCCTGAGATTCCTGGTGCTTGGAGGGTTCTCCAGTCCCCCTCACTCCACCCTGTGGGGCTCTGTGGTGCCTCTGAGGCCCCACAGGAGCATGGAGCACCGTGGTCTCTGTGCCTGTGGGCACTGGTGTGTGGAGCTCTCAGATGTGCTGTGGGCAGAGCACTGGGAGCTGGCTTGTCTCAGCTGGTGGAATGGTCTTAGGTACAAACAATAAACAGCCCTAGGAAAGTGTGTGCTTGGAAGGGAGGCTTGGCTTTTGAGGGGTCCAGCTGATGTGAAGGCTGTGTCCCCAGCCATGGGACACTGCAGTGTCCCTTGGGCACACCAGATGCTGCAGTCCATGGCACAGCAGCTTCCAATCATTCATCTGCTCCTTCTCCTGGGGCAACATTTCTGTCCAGCCCACCCAGAGCTTCATGAGGAAGGGACACATTTTCAGATGAAGCCTGGGCTCAAAGATGTGAACCTGCTGGCTCCCCAGCACCAAGGAACAGGGCAAAGCCACCTGCTGCAGCTGATGTGCTGGTAAGCAGCTGGCAGCCTCAGCAGGGAGCTGGGAACTGGGTTGTCCATGCAAGGACATGGCTGCTCTGCAAGCAGGGGTGGCCATGCACAAACTGAAATCACAAGAAGCCACTCAGTTCACTGGGCTGCAAGTGCAGGACAGAAGGAAGAGTTTAAAAAAAGGAGATGGTTTCACAAACATATTCCTCATGTAGGAAAAAACCTATATTTGGGGCCCTGTTTACCCTTCTCCCCTTCAGGCAGGGTGGGATTACAGTGCAGTCCCAAAGCAGTGACCCTGTCCCAGTGTGGCCCACACTCCTGCCCACTAATGCATGTCCTGTGTCAGCTGCCTTGGAGTGAGGAGACACCACACGTGTGATAAGGGGCTCCCAAGACCTGTTACAAGGAGCAGAGAGCCCCAGGTGGGTGACTGAGTGGGTCACTCACCCTAATGCCCCTGTGATTCCACTAGAAGCTTCTCCCTCTTCCAGAACAAGGATGGGACACGCAGGGCACCTCAGCATCAGCCATCCCAGCACTGGGATGAGGCCTCTTTTGCAACTGGTGCAAAAACTGGTTGGGTGTCCTTTTTCCCCTCTCCTAAATCCCATTTCTTTTTGGCAGTTGTTGTCCCACACACCTCCTGCTCCCACCCTGCACCACCCATCCCCAGCATCCAGCAGTGCTGGGCAGCCCCCAGCCACGTGTCCTGCCTGCTGTCCCCTGCAGCCACTGCCCAGTGTGGGCACAGCTGGGTGCCAGCAGTGTCTCCCTGCACACAGGACACCTTCTGCACTGCAGGCAGAGCTGCTCAGTCCCCTCTGCCTCCCTGTGTCCCCTGTTCTGCTCCCAGCTCCCGGCTGCAGCATTCCTGGGCTGGGGGAACCCAGGCAGTGCAGCCTTGTCCCCATACAGGGCTGGGGGAAGCCAGGCAGTGCAGAGCCTTGGCCCCATACAGGGCTGGCTTTCCTCCCATGCTGGGCATGCTGTGTGTGCAGTGCTGGCCTCAGCATAGCCCAGACCATCCTGAGTTGCCCATGGCCACTCTCACCCCTCCTGACCTGCATTGTCCTGGATCCAGCTGCTGTTTGGGAACGTTTCTGTGTCACAACATCTTTGTGCCAGGGTCACCCACCCATGTGATGTGACCCATCAGTCACTGCTCAGCCTGCACAAGTGACCATCCAGTGACATTGCTGTTCCTGGTGAGATGCCAACATGCCAGGGGCTCTCCAGGAGGATGAGTGAATGCTTCCAACATGAAAAGGGCTTGTGAAGCTCAGTGGATGTTCTCATGTGCACAAAAGGATTTATGGTGTTGCCTTGGGAGGAGCCCCGTCCTTGCCCTTGCTCACAGGGAGCCTGATGACTTTATGGCTTTTATGTAACCAGTAGCTCCTAAACCACACTGGTGCTGCTGGGTGAGGGTCACAAAAGGGAAATGTTTGTTTCCACAGCCCTGCAGGCAGGATCAGTGGTGTTGGGCTCTTGGCTGCACACGAGGTCCCCGTGCTTTGAGCAGCAGCACCTGCCACCTGCAGAGTCAAACCTGGTCCAAAGAATAACGTGCATTTGTCTGCCCAGAGTCTGGAGCTGACAGGCTGGTGAAGTTTAGACCTGCCCAGCAGCACAGAATCTCACCAGTGCTGGGGGTTTTACCCCAAGACCCCCCAAGAAGGAGTAATCTCAAAAACCATGTGCCCACATGCACACAGCCCCATCTTCCTTGGACCTCCACTGGAAACAACCCTGTCCAGTTCTCACCTTCCAGCTGCATCCAGCCTTTAAAATAATTCTTGGGCTACAGGACAGCAGCCTTTCTGCCAGGACCTGCAGGTCCACTCTAACATAGCCCAAGAAGAGCAGTGAAAATGCTGATAATTTCATACTGGAGACTCAATCCCACCCACTTGTAACGCTCCTCTCAGTTTCACCCCAGCACAGCTGACCTGCAGGGCATGTGAAGGCAGAGCTCCCAGTGTTGGAAGGAGTGAGAGAGCTGCTGGTGTGGGAGAGGGCTGGTGTCATGCCAGACATGGTGTCATGCCCTGAGACAGGGCACAGGCGAACCAGACCTGGATCCAACTCCAGCATCACCTCTCTGGTGCTGCTGGACACAGCCTGTGCCTCTCCTGGCTTTGCATGGCCCAGGAATCCTGGGTGCTGGGCATGGGTGTTCTCCAAGGTGTGTGTAGAGATGAGTTTGTGTCAGGCTCTTGTTCAAGGCGTGCAGTCTGCACTCAGCACTGACAAACCTTTGCACCTGTGTGTCCTTGCATGGGTTATGATGTTAAAACACCTGATGCTCACTGCCTCAGAGGATTTCAAGATCTGTGGCCCAAAGCTGGGCCAGTCACAGGGACAGGGAGGGTGCCATGGGCTACAGGAGCCTTGTGAGGGGCAGAGAAGAAGGTTGACCAGGGGTTTTGCTCTCTAGGGCCTGGCAGCCAGTGTGTTGGACTTGTGCTGCTGCCTGCCTGCCCTGCACGGGTGGGCATTGTCCCTCTTGGCTCTGCATCCCCCCTCAGCAGCCCAGGGTTCTGCAGGGTTCTGCAGGTTGCTCCCAGATGCATCTACCAGGGTGTCCCTGCAACCCAGCCAGGACTGCCTCCCCCAGAATGGGCAGGAGCCCCCCAGCCTCTCTCTGCTGTTTTCCCACAGTCAGAACTGCCCTGTGGTGTTCAGAGTCATCACGGTTTGGGCTTTGCTCAAAGCCATGTTCTGTATGGAGGGGCTCTGGGTCTGGCTCCACAGCTGATGGCAGAGGAGGAAAGCCTCAGAATGGGACAGAATTCATGGAGAAGAGCAGAACATTATCCACATGGGACAACCTGGCCAAACCCCGGGCCACACTCTGATGGCAGTGACCAAGCAAAGGGTGTGTGAGTTCTGCCCCACACCAGCTCTCACCCTGGAGCTCAGCACAGCATGGGACTGTCCCTCCTGCTCAGGGCACCGGGAACCTTCCACAGTCCCTCGGGATCTCCTGTGTGTCTGTGCACAGCAGTGCCAGGCAGGGCACGGGGCTGATGCCGTGTCACCCACAGCTGGTGGTACAGAGCTGCCAGGGGCAGTGGCCCTGAGATGTAAGGAAGGAAGGTAAAGCCATGGTGGGGAGGGATGGTGCTGTCTGCAGAGCTTCCATAAGCCCAGGAGCCAGGGATCCCTCGGCCCTCACATCTGGCTAACACATCTGGCACGGTGTTCCCAGCAGCCAAGGTGAACCTGCAGACATCTGCAGCCAAAGCACAGCTTCTCCAGCAGCTGTGGTGGGAGCTGCTCACCTCCAGGACAAGCACAGGACAGGGATTTGTCACACCAACTGGCCAGCAGGTTCTGCCCAGTGAGCACACCATGGCTGTGACAGGCACAGCCTCTGCTCCGTGCTTCGTGTCCTGCCTGACGGGAGGCCAAGCTGGTGATGATGATGAATTTATGACCTCCCACCCACTGCTGCAGTGGAGCCACAGATGCTTACAGAGGGTGTTGTGGGAGCTGCGGTTTGGATGAATAATTTTCCAGCCCTGCAGCTCAAGAGCCATGAAACCCAGAGGGGGAGAGAAAGACAACAGAGCACTAAAACAAAACAAGCCTCTGGCTTGGGCTGCCCAGTGAGTTCTGGGCCATGCCATGTTGTTCTTCATGTTTATCCTGCTCCAGATGAGCAGCATGCAGCCACTGCCCTCCTCCATCAGCCCTGGTGCAGAGGTCAAAACACAGATGAGCAAAATGAGCCTGTTTGGACCCCCCTTCCTACTCCCTGCTCTCCTCTCCATGGCTGCCACAGCAGGGGCTGCCTGGGTTGCTGTTGCCAAGTGACAGGAGACAGGGATACCCACCCCTCCAAGATGGGGGTACACAGCCATGGGAGCCTGATGGTGGCTGCTGGAGCACCACAGCTCCTTGATCCCACATTTTCTCCAGCCCTGAACCTCACCCCAGGCTCTCACCTGGCCCCTGCTGTCCCCAGGGCACAGAGTCCAGCTGCCCCACATCTTTGCACAGCACAGTAATGGGCCCCTGCTCCCACCTCGGGGAGCCCATTTCACCCTGGCACATCCCCAGCTGGACACCTCCACGAAATCAGGTGCTGGCACCAGTCACGGCATGGAATGCCCACTGCCCACCCTCTCTCCCACCTGAGCTGTACCAGACCCGGAGCAGCAGGATTGCAGCCAGATGCCCCAAGGATCTGCAGCATCTTCCATCATCAGCTGCTAATGTTGGCCACTTCCTGGGGAACAGAAGTGCTGGGGCCAGCACAGATTGAAGGGAGGTCTGAACTGGAAGGAGAATTCACAGAATCACAGGGCTGGAAGGGACCTCTGGAGATCATCCAGTCCCATCCCCCTGCCAAGGCAGAATCACCTGGAGCAGTGCCAGAGGAACACGTCCAGGTGGGTCTTGAACATCTCCAAAGGGAAAATCCTCAATCTCCCTGGGAAACTGTTCCAGTGCTCTGCCACCCTAAATGAAGAAGTACTTCCTCATGTTGAGGTGGAATTTCTTGTGTTTTAATTTATTCCTCCAGGGACAGGTGAGCAGTACTGGAGCTGAGGGTCCCCCCTCAACACCCCTCGTGCACGTGCAAGGTTTGCTGTGGTTGTGGCTCCCTGACCCAGCTGAGGTGCAGGTGCTCCAAAAGAAAGGTCCTCAAGCATGTAGGACACTGAACCAGGGATCTGGTCCACCTAACAGGTTTCCTACCTGGCTTTTCACCTCTGCCCCTCCTCTGCAGGGCATGGAGCCACAGGTCTGCCCTTTTTGCAAGCAGTGCCTCCCAGAGCAAGGGGTTAAAGAGCATGTGAGGATTGTGCTGCTCTGTGCCCTGGGCATCAGGCTGGAACCTGAACATCCTTGTCCATGTGACTTCACGGGCACTGTCAGGGAGCAGGGAATCTGTCCCTGTGCTTCCCTGCCCCAGCCAGAGCCTCCTGCCGGGCACTGGGACCTTCTGCTTGTTTCCAAGTGCTTGCTGTTACATTTTGGAAAACTCTGGGAGTCCTTGCTGGGCCCAGACTCACACAGAGGCTGACGGTGCTATTCCAGCCTTTGGATGGCCCTGATAGGAGTAGGGTCTGCAGGAACATTCCTCTGGCCTTTGCCCCTGACCTTGGGTGGCTCCACAGGGCAGGGCAGGCACATCCGAATTACCAAACTCCTGGATCCTGCTCCATCTCTGCTGCCTTGGATCACAACCTGCTCCACCCAGAACCTAAAGGATCAGCTTCAAGAAGAGCCAGGAATGGCAAGTCTGAGGAGCCTTACTCTCAAGAGAGATCATGTCCCAGGAGTGAGTGTCCCCTCACAGGGATGTCAGATGAGGTGGATGAGTGAATGCCACAGAACACATGGGCCAGTCCTGGTGATGCTGATTTTTTTCTCTGGTGTCCCTGTCCCCTGTGGTCGTGCCTAAGGGTCTCTGTATCCTCTCCTGCCCCTGCAAGGCTTTCTGGAAGGAGGGACTCGCTGCTGTCCTCCCCAGAGTGCAGCATGGCATCAGTCCCTGCTGGAACCAGTGAAACACAGCCAGCATCATCCATCTGTCCTTGGAGAACAGCCAAACTGGGATCCTACTGGGCTGGTCCAGAACCCTATAAAATCTGGAAGGAAATAAAAAGAGGGCAAAAAGCAGTTGCCCCATGGTAGCAGGGCAGGAGACACATTTGTGTTTTATTCAGGGACCCCTGTGAGGACAGAAACAAAGAGTTCCAGCACTGGCTCAGCTGGCATCACCAGCTTTCCAGCTCGGGAAGGACCTCAGCTGGATGTCCAGGGCATTGGCATCACCTTGGGAGGAGCAGAATCACCTCCCTCCCCTCTGCACTGCTGAGTGACAAAGTCAAAGCCCAGCCATTGAGAGGTGGCAGGTGACAAAAAATAACATTTATTTTAAAATATTTTTAAATTCTGCATGGATTAATCCATTAACAGATTCACAATAACTACCCGGGAATTCCAGTGGTACTATGCAGTGTTATTCAGCATTTTAAAATTTCTGTTATTTTCTTGTACATTAACAATAAAAATGAGGGTGCATTAGAACTGTACTGAAGAGTGTGCTTTCGATCTTTTCTAAAATCAAATTGCAGTTGAATGGTAAGGCCTCAAGATTGTGATTGTTAAAGATGCATTGATTCTCTGAAGGTGTTTTAGCAGTTCCTGGCTGTCTTTGATGAAAGTTTCCACACCTCTCATGCTGTCTCAGTGTATTGTAGACAGAGAGATTTGCTCAGGCGAGTAGAAAGAAGAAAGCAAAATAAAAGCATCTTCTATCTAAATCTTCGAATTATGAGACAATTCGATAGTTAGTGAAATGCTGCTAACTTTGAAAAGTTCAGGAATCACAAATCCCGCAGTGTTTGGTTCCAAGAGCCGCAGCTCCATCCTTTAAGAGCAGCAGGAGGGTGCAGACAGGAGGGGTGGCTGTGGAGCAGCGCTCTCCCCTCGCAGCCCGAATTCTGCCGCTAGAGGACAACACAAACACGGCTGAGCTGCAGGAAAACATCCCTGCCCTGCCAGCGCCGAGTGATGGCATTGCCCTCACTGCTCCCACTGAGCTGCAGCTTCAGCGAGACACGCCTGGAAAGGACACTTCCACCCCTGAGGCAACTTAGAAATTCCAAATTTGCCGTGGAAGCATCAAAGCTCTCTGCTCCTCCAAGCAGCTTGGTGTCCAGACTCTTCATTTTGCCGGGAGCCGGGTGACACGCTGGAATAAGTGACACTTGGAATGTTGGCAGCTGTTATAAGAGCTCAAAGACATGGATATGAACCACAACAGCTGGCCTGGAATAAAATGCAAGCAGAGAAGTCAAAGTGAGGCACGTGGAGAAAAGCTGGAATATGCTGTTCCAAAAAAATGTGAGAATTGCAGTCAGGACCTTCCTGAGGAAATATCCCTCCTTCAGTTGAATGATAGTTTTCAATAGGAACCTCTTCAGTGTGATTTTTTGTAGGAGCTGTATGAATAGTGGGATCAGCCAGAGCCCTGGGCTCCTGAGGACAATTCTGAGTGAGAAATTGTCAGGAGGTGGTGATGTGGTTGGCATTGGCTGGAGGGAGAGGAGCAGGAGTCACAGATAAGAGCTGCAGACAGGAGTGACAGGCCTGACACTTTGTCCAGACTGACTTCGAATTCCTGGCTGCTGCCAGAGCCTGTCCAGACATTCCAGGCCCTGCTCATGTCCCATGTCAGAGCTGGAGGGAGGGATAGTGAGGAACCCCAGGGACTCATCCCTCTGAGGAGGGCTCCCCATCTCCCCACCAAGCAGTGTTTTACATTTGGAGATGTCAAAAGACATTGCAAATGTTGAATTAATGACATCCCCAGCACTGTTCATGATGGAAGCAGCTTAACTCTAAATAAACCAGTTCCTACTCTCAGACCAAAATTCTCTCTGCACTTGGTGATGATTTTTCCAATGTGTGCAGCAGTCACAGGGAGTCCTGAAACTGCAGGATCTGAATGCACTTTGCAATGAAATAGTTTCAGATCCAGCATCACCCCAGCCAGGAGCCCTCACCAGTCTGTGCATCAGTCCCAAACCCTGAACTCCATCTGGAGCACTTTTTTGGGGAGGAGACACCTGCTCTGATTCACAGGTCTCAAGGAACCCCAGCCCTGGTGAGCTGAAGTTGTTTAAGTCTCCCCCTGTGCTGGTTCACCTTCCTGACCCCAGATAACACTTCCACTTCTTTTATCCTGCAGTAACGGGGATATCAATCAGGAAACTCGAATGCCAGAAGGAAAGGCCCATCCAGAGGAAGCAGGGCTGTGAAAGCATCTCTCAGTCTGTGCCTTGGCCACGTGGCACTCTGCCATAGCCTGGTTACAGAGGGAGGGGTGACTTTTGGGGTGCACTTTGCAGCCACCCCAACCTGGACCATTCTTTCTCTGTCTCATTCACCTACTCCATTCATGGGTGTGAGGGAGGCAGAGGGAGGAACCAGATCCACCTAAAGCCCCGTGGACAGCTGTCTGTCTTCAGTGTGAGACCCATGTTCAGCTGCTGTCCCTGCTACAGATGAGATGCTTGGCTCTGTACAGAGACTCAGTGTGGTTCAAGCAGTGGGGCCAGGCTCACCCCTATCCCTCAAACACTGCCATGGGATGGGCACTGAGTCACTGAGGGCATCACAGTGGCACTGAGCAGCCAGTGGCTGTCATGAGAGAGGACATGGAGCTGTCCTTTGCAGCCTTCTCTTTTTGCAGGTCCACCACCCTTTGCCAAGCAGATGTTTCTGCTGCCTCAGAACTTGGCACGTCCTTCATACAGAATCCTGTTCTGATGCACACCCCACTTGTTGCAGGACTCTGTGGCAGTATCCCCTGCTAAGCCAGACCATGACACAGGTCCAGATGACACAGCTTCAAGTCCCCACTCAATGGACTATTCCTCCACTTTGGCCACTTTACCCAGGGTTAGAAAGAGCTCTTGAAGGAACCCAGCCCCTGCTCCTGGCACCAGTGCTGGGCAGCTCCTGCAGACCCAGCTGCTGCATGCCTTGGTCTGGGCAAAACTGACAGGAGCACCTTGTCCCACCATGGAGAGTGGCACTGTGACACTGCTGCTCCATCCCCCTGGAGCCCCCCAGCCCCTGCCTGCTGCAAGGAGAGAGCAAACGGGGCTGCTGGAGAGTGAGGGCTGGAGTTCAGGACAGACAGACAGACAGACAGCTTTGGGCATGGTTACTCCCTGCAAAAAGCTTGTCCTGAGCTCCTCAGTCACTTCTCCCCAGCTGCACCCTGACTTTGCAGTCCCAGCTGAGTTTAGCAGCCAGCACAGACACAGAGTCCTTTATCTGGGGTTGTATTTCAGCGTCCCGAAGTCTGGAGCCCTTGAAGTGCCGGTAGGGTACTTCAGCCTCACTACTCACACTCCTCTGTCCTCTTGGAGCTCTGCCTTCCCCAGCCTTGCTATCTCACAAAAACACGGCTACAAAACAAGTCTCAGTCCTGGAGCTATGAACAGGTCTTTATTTTTTGAGGTTTCTTTTGGTTGTTTTTTTTTCCCCTTTTCTTCCCTTTGAATGAAATTCCTGCCAGCTCTAAGAGAGAGAGAGAGAGAGAGAGAGAGGGAAAGAGTAGAAAGTTTAACTCCTCCCATTGGAGTGTCTCACGCCCCTGCCCAGCCCTTGAAACCCAATAACCAAGATCATTCAGCAATGCCTCCCCTTGCCTGGCTGCATCCTCCGCGCGCTGGGACCTGCCGGGGACCCCGTGCCCGCGGCCGAGGGGCGAGGATGGGCTGGCTGCTGCTGTGGGGCATCGTCCTGGCGTGCTGTGCCCGCTGCCAGGCGGTGCCCGTGGAGCCAGGGGCTGCTCCCTCCTGCCCGCCCCAGTGCCACTGCGAGCAGGATGGCATCATGCTCTCGGTGGATTGCTCCGAGCTGGGGCTTTCGGAGGTGCCCGCGAACCTGAGCCCTCTCACCGCTTACCTGTAAGTACGGCCCTCGCTGCTTCTTTTGCAATGCTTCCCCCGGACCGCTTCGACAGCTGCGGCTTTCCTCCGGCTTGGAAGTTTGTGCCACATATTCCCGAAATTAAATTTCCTGTGGAAATTAGAAACCAAGCAAAATAACAACAAAAAAAGGCAGCTCTTGGGCAGGACCTGCCAAGCTCCCCTCCTCCCGCGCCCCTCTGCGAGCGCTGTTTATACTACGATGTTCTGCTCTGCTCCGTGATTGCAGCGGACCAGGGGAACTGACTTGCTGGGTCGATTTTGATTGTCTGAGCACATAATGGAGTATTTTTACACAGCAATTAGCGCAAACTGCTCTGGGATCCTTCTGTCAAGCATTTCAATAGCTGCAATAACTCAGAGCTTTGCGGGGTTTGGGTTGTGCTGGCCACCAGCAGTGTCCGAGATGCCTTTTTAAAATGAGTATTAAAGCCTGTAAGAGGTTTGAGGGGGTTGCGATTAAGAGGTTTGCAAGTGTTGTGATTATTTATGTATTAATTTTATTTAAAAATTCTTGATTATCTGAATGTTTCATACCCCTTCTGATGTTAATACCCCAGAGGGTTAATTGACAGAGACTGCTGCGTTCATTTCCAGCCCCAGAGGTGGTCCCGGTGCCATCATACCGGTGATGACTGAGAATCCTGATAAACGACTGTGGAAAAATCTCAGGGTTTAATCGGGAGAGGAAACATCCCTCTCAGGGAGACAAGTTATCCCTGAGGAAGATGCTTCCTGGGTTTACAGGCAGCGCTGCAGCCACGAGCCACAGCTGTTTGGCAGAGCAATCCTTTGGGAAGGACCGCGGCATTGCCAGCTCGGAATACATCCAGGGCACAGCCGTGTGTGCCGCAGCCATCGGGGACCGCTGGTAGCCACAGCCAGGGCTGGGGATGTTGGTGGAGAGCTCGCTGCTGAGCCCCCGCTGGGCTGGGAGTGCCATACACACCGTGGGGTTGGTTTTCCCTGGATTGTGCTGAGATGCAGGTGCTCAGATGTCGGAGCAAAGCACCCAAACCCGTCCAGGAAGGGCTGGATGAGAGCTCCTCTGCTCCTCCCGCTCGCCTGAGGAGCTCAGTCCTGTGTCGGCCACTGGATGTCCAGAGCTGTACTGGGCTAGCTGGGAGAGAAATAAGGAAAGGAAAGGACAATGCTCGCTGGAGACCTTGAAAGATGAGAGAAATGTGTAATGCAGGCTGTATTTCTCCTGGGAGAGGGAACCATGAGGTTACGTGAGGTGTGACTGCACAGAACTGTCCCCGGGGCTTGGTTTGGAACTGGCTGTGAAAAGCCACAGGGACCATGTGGGAGAATGCAGAACTTTGCAGCACCGATGGTTCTGTGGGGACAGGGGCAGCCCCATGGGGCACCCCGCTCACCCGGAGGTGTCGCAGCACGGGGCACCCGCTGCTGCCGCTCTGCAGGACATCCCACAGAGCTGTCCCTTGGGCTGCGAGCTGCACAGCTGCCCGCACCAACCCAGGCACATTCCGGTGTTCCCGGAGCTCAGTGCCGCGTTTACCCTGGCCACGGTGGCTGGAGCGGGGACACAGAGCGCTGGGGACGGACCCCTGTGCATGGACCCCAGCGGGGCATGCTCGGAGGAGCTGCCAGAGGGGGGCCGGGGGGCGGTGACCCCTGCGACTGCTGGCACAGCCCTGGATTTCACCGGGACGGGATCCTCGGGACAGCCCCGGAGCACCCAGCGCTCCGGGATGCTGCTGGGGCGGTCCCTTGGCCGCGGCCCTGTTCCCCGTGTCTGTTCCGGCCCCGTTCTCCCGTGGGTTGTACCGGCCCCGTTTCTTCGTGTCTGTACTGGCCCCAATCCACGTGGTTTGTACCAGCTCCATTCCCCCGTGGGTTGTACCGGCCCCTCTCTCCCGTGTCTGTTCCATTCCCTCTCTCCCGTGTCTGCTCCATTCCCTCTCTCCCGTGTCTGTTCCATTCCCTCTCTCCCGTGTCTGTACCGGCCCCGCTCCCCTGGGCTCCCTCGGTGGCTGCAGTGACACTGGTGTCCCTTTGCAGGGTCACAGCCTCCCTCCCCATCCCATGTTGCTCAGGGAACGCCCGGCTGGGGGGACCCTCCGAGTGCTCCAAGGCCCGGGGGTCTTGGAGGGGGCCTCAGTTTTCCTCTCTCCCTCTTTGGGGAAAACCAACCCGTTTGGTGCTTCTCCATTAGACCCTGCCAGTGAGAGGACCAAACAGATGTGATGGAGGTAAAAGTCAGGACGAACTGGGAATGACTGGAGGACGATTGGAGAGCTGGGTGTTCTCCCTGCTCCTGTGACTGCTCTTAGCAAGTTATGTGAGCTGAGATTCCCAGGTACAAGTGTGCAGCCAGGGCTGGTTTGTCAAAGCAAATCAGCATAAATGTTGGAGAAAGTATGGATACCGGAGTGAGATCTAAGTTCTTCATAGAAACACCAGCTTAAACTCCACATTCAAATATATAAAGAAATGCTGGATTGCTTTGGAGAGCTACAAAGGCTGAAGAGAGATCCCTGGGATGGCAGCAGGAGCATGGAGCTGCCGGGCAGCTGCTCGCAAAACTTTCCAATTCCTTTGCTCCGTGCCCTGTCTTTTCAGAAAGTGACTGGCACTGAGGAGAGCAACACTTCCTCTGGAGCAAAATAAAGGATCCTCGTAATGACCCTTGATTAGACACCGCCTCACCACTAATGAGCTGCTGTCCACGCCCCATCCTGACGGTGCTGCGCCTCCACCGTGCCTATTTCTCTGCAAGAATCCCGTCCTTGCTCAGTCCTGTACCTTTCTGAACTTGACCCTGGTCCCACCCATCCAAAGCCGAGTGTTTTCAGTGGTGACATCGCCGGTGAAATTGCAGCTGAGGTCAAGGAGGTGGGAGAGATTTCCCCTTTAGCTGAGGTGCCAATGCCAGTCCTGTGTCACATAACCACAGCTCTGTCTCTCAGTGTGTGTCACAGAATTGATCCGGGACTGCTGCAGAGGTGGCTGGAGCTGCTGAGGGCTCCCTGGAAAGGACAGCAGCAAGATGGGGGTGCAGGAGAATGGAGCTGCCTAGGGGAAGGTTCCTCTGCAGCAGAGAGGTGACTGCACAAAGGGGCTCAGAGGAGGATGGGAAAGCGGAAAAAACTTCTTGGTGCTTAAATTATTATCTTAGCTGTGATCCCTGACACCACTGCACACCCTGCATGTGCCCTGGTGGAGCAGCCTCACCTCAGAGTCCCCAGCGTAAATCATCACCCGGGCTGGTGCAGTTCAGTCCCCAGCTGTCCCAAGGCTGTCACCAGGAAGATGTTCACAGTTGGGTGCAGGTGCTCGAGGCATCCCCTGCCCTGGGATGGCATCCTGACCCCCCTCAGCCCCATGGATCTGGCTACCAGCCCCTGCAAGGGGGACAGGTGACAATGCTGGGGGTGAAGTAATGCTCTCAATTTGCCAAGGCTGCTCCTCTTTCACAAAAATAAAAATGACACCGTGTTGCTTGTGCGTGCCAGGTCCCTCCCAGGGCTGTGCTGGCCTGTCCAGCTGTCACTTGCAGGAAAGAAATGGAGAGTCTGTCTCAGCAGAGCACACCTTGGGATGGAAAGGCAGCAGCAGTAGTGCCATGGCCAAGTGTGGACAGCAGCTGGCCAGGGAGCACACACAGCCCCACACCCTGCACAGGTCTAGAGGGATGTGACACATCTTGCAGTGCCTTATCCCCAGCCTGGAATGCACGTACATGGGGAGGGGCTGGAAGGATTCCCCAGATATCCTACTATGGAAGACATTTCTGAAGGTCTCTTATCCACATTCAAACAGGTCCATCTTGTGAGGCTGGTCAGGATCTTGTCCAAGAGGTAAACCTGGACAATCTTAGGAGTATCTCTAAGACTCCCTCACCTTTCCCCCGTTCTTTACTATCCCATTTTTTCCTAATATCAAATTGCAAATTCCTATGGTTCATCTTGTGCCCATTCATTACTTCTCATCCTTCTCCTGCAAAACTCCTAGGAGACGTTGGCTCCAGCATCTGTACACCCTTCTAGTCAATAGTTAAAGAGAGCAGTAACACTCCTCCATTCCTCCATTTTCTGTGAAGACTGATCAGACCTGCTGCTGTGAGCAGTGTTGGGACAGGGGCAGAGGGGGAGTGGAGGCAGGGGAAGAGATGAAGGACACAAACCTGGAGGGTGCCAGCACAAGAAGCACCATGGCTCAAAGCTCAACTGGAGGAGCCATCCCCCCCTTCCCAAGGGTCTCAGGTGTCCCCAGCCCCATGGAGGGGTCAGGCAGCTCTGCTGCTCTGTGCCCCATCCCCAGAAACACCAGTGCCTGCTGTGCTCTCATCCCCGGCCCCTGCACACCTCGCTGTGGAACACTGCACTGCCTGCAGTGCTGCTCTCTGTGCTGGGAAAGCAGCAGAGACCTGGGGCAGGACACCTGAGGAGGCTGCCAGGCTGTTCCTGTCACAGCAGGATCTGGGAGGAGGGAAAAGCAGCAGGTCCTGGCTGCTCCCAGATATCACCAAGCATCTCACGAGGCTTCCCAGACAGAAAGTTTCTCATCCCCCACACTGTTTCCTTTGAGGAGAATGGGACCAGGAGCTGTTCTCACCTTGCAGAGACATTTTGAGAAACCGCCTGGAATTTAGTATCCCACTGGGAGTCTGGGGCCCTGCATCACCCACTCTTCTCTGAGCTACACTCTGGAATCAGGTGCCACACAGACCCCTAGCAGGGATGTGCAGGACACAGGGATGATTTGAAGCTGAGCAGACCCTTCCCAGGTCACACAGGGCTGGATCCAGCATAGGGCAGAGTGAGGGAAAAATGCCTTTTTCTTGATATTTGCATTTTCTTTTCTTTCACAGAACTGCAGGTGGGTGAGGCAGCAGGTTTGGAGGCTCAGTACTGCTGGGGCCTGCAGCAATATGAGCAGCAGTGCTGAAGGCAGCTCCCCTCAGCCCAGATCCCTCCCCATGGGCAACATCTGCCCCTTGCAGCCCCCACTGT